TTGTGAGCACCATATATTGGATCTCGGAAATGGTGCAAAGGAGATTTCTTGAATGGTAATGGGGCGAGGGACCTCAGAAAGATGGAAAGACTGAAGAAGCTGTTTCTCTTAAGCTTTCTTGCTATAAGAGGAGATTTGATAAACCTGGTCAAAATTGTGAGTGGTTTGATAACAGTAAATAAAGAAAACCTGTTTTGAGTGAGAGATCAGTGGACACAGATTTAAGGTGATTTTAAGATGGATTAATCTCACCTCACCAAAAAGAAAGTGTCATTGCTATGCTGACCAGAAACATATCTGCCCTGCAATGTCAATATGCTAAGCGTAATCTTATTTGGTTTGGAGTTAGACCTCAACCCCATCTGTGTGGAAACATCATGCCCTGGGGAGCTCCCAGCCAATATAATTGGTTGGAACTCTAAGCAGTGCCAGAACCAGGTAGTGGCCATGGTTGGAACTACAAGTAGTTCAGAAAGAAGGCAACTGATTCATTCCCAAATTCAGTCAGGGATTTTTGGTCGGATCTGCTGGTAGAACCTGACCAAGGGAGTGCAGGTTTGGGGTATGGGTATTAGACACTAGGGTGATAGATTAAAAGGGTGCATGATCTTGGGGGTGATGCCCCAATGGACAAATTGAAATCCTTCCCCCAAAAGGGATATACATGCCTCTGCCAGTGGCTTGCGTAACAAAAGCCTCTGAGCAAAACTTGCTTTTTGCCAGTTTCCTCAGCCAAATGACAAGTTATGGCAGATGCAGACTGAGACCCCTAAGTGACCATGTAGAACTCAAGACTGAAGGACAGGGGTTGAGGGAAGGGAGGTGTTACATGACACCTTGCCTGCCCACAGTATTATGGAGACAGGTTAGGGGTGGGCAGTGGACAAGCCATCTATTGTGTTTTAACACGCTCTGCTTTTAAACATCTTGTATGGTGGCCCATAGCCACCCCTTTGGTTTGTAGGAAGTGGGCACCCACATGGGCCTGAACTATGCCTACCTCGTCGTAGGATTCGTGGGACAGCCCCTCTTCAACAACTACCCCAGCATCATCCCACACCTCTTTCTCCGCTATATTGATGATTGTATCAGTGCTGCCTCTTGCTCCTGCAAGGAGCTCAAACAGTTCATCAACTTCATCAATACCTTCCACCCTACTCTCAAATACACCTGGACCGTTTCTGTCACCTCCCTCCCCTACCTGGAGATCTCTGTCTCTATCTCCGAAAACCGACACACCACTGACACCCATTTCAAACCAAGCGACTCCCACAATTACCTTGACTACATCTCCTCTCACCCACCCTTCTGTAAAAATTCTATCCCATACTCTCAATTCCTCCGCCTCTGCCGCATCTGCTCCCAGGATGAGACTTTCTACTCTAGGACTTCCCAGATTACCTCCTACTTTAGAGACTGTAGTTTCCCCTCCTCTGTTATTAAGAATGCCCTCAACTGCATCCCCCCCCTTTCCCCGCAACAATAAGTATCGAGTCCCTTTGGTCCTCACATACCACCCCATCAACCTCCGAATACAAAGCATCACCCTCTGACATTTCCACCACCTACAATCACCATCACCATAAAGATATTTCCCTCCCCACCCCTGTCAGCTTTCCACAGGGACTGCATTGTCAGTTCCACACTCCCCACCAACCCCTCCATCACCCCTGGTACCTTTCCCTGCAACCGCACGTGGTGCTACACCTGCCCCTACACCGCCCCTGTCACCTCTCTCCAAGGCCCCAAACAATCTTTCACCTGCACTTCGACTGTATCTGTTGCTCAAATGTAGTCTCCTCTGTACTGAGAAGACCAAACACAGACTCGGGGACTGGTTTGCGGAGCATCTGCTACCTTCCAGTTGCCATTCACTTTAACTCCCCCTCCCACTCTCTTGGTGCCATGTCTATCCTTGGCCTTCTCCACTGTCAGAGTGAGGCCAAATGTAATCTGGAGGAACAACACCCGATATTTCACCTTGGGAGCTTACAGCCCAATGGCCTGAATATTGATTTCACCAGCTTCAAAATCTCTCTCCCCCATGCCCCAGCCTGTCCATCTTCTAACTCATCTATCTGTTCCACCCTTCCCACTGACCAACACAATAACCCCTACCTGCATCAACCTATCTCCATCTCACCTACCCTCCCCTCAGCCCCACCATCCCCCCCAGCGCCCCCGCCTTTATTTCTGGGATCCCCTCCCCAGCCCTCTTGAAGGATTTTGGCCTGAAACGTTCACTTTCCCGCTTCCCGGATGCTGTCTGACTGGCTGTGCTTTTCCAGCTCCACATTTATCGACTCTAGCTTCTGAAGTCCTCACTGTCTCCAGGCATTTAAATGCTGGTGTAGGAACTCCTCAAAGACTCATTTGTCTGGTGCATTATATGATAGAAACCTTCCAGCTTCCAGCGGTGGTATGTTCTTAATGCAGCATTTGAGGAACATTCTACAACGGACTCAGCATTCCTAAACTCAGGGCATTCAAAAGCTGGGTGAAGGGAAAGACAGAAGAATGTCATGGTTTACATCCTCTGGCTTTTACGAGACACCCTTGAAAGAAAGTGTTATGCTGAAGGGAGATATTCTGAGACAATGTTGCGCCTGGATCAGGTACAATTTTCACCACTTATGCTTCAGCAGGGATTTCCTGGTCCAATAGCATAAAGAGTACTGTTGGAGCAGTAAAAGTTGTAAAATGTTTGAAAACATCTAGCCCAGAACAAGTTTATTTTTAGTGCTTTCCAACTGGTAACAATTTGGATAGTCAATCCTTCACACTTGTGTCCCATTTCCAGCCGAGTCTGATTCCCGCACTGTGTGTATGCCTGGATCATACAAATTACACTTGGCTTCCAAGGAGGAGCTGGCAAGGATTTTGGCAGACGGCATTCTTGCAACATTAGCTTTTCCAAAAAGCTGATGGATGGCAAAGGCTCTGGAAGAACATTCACCTAACTCTGTTGCAAATTGAATAGACATAAGAATAGGGTAGATTTCCCAATACCAAAACCTGATCTACACCATGATATGAAATTGTTCCTCCACCCTTGTTATTGGTTGCTTTGTACTGGAAGCAGCAAGAACTGTATTTGCAGAAGCATCTATCTCACACCTCAGAAAATTCCAAAACATGTCAGGTTCATTGGCTGTTTTCTGAAGTAGTGCAGTTAGACTGTTGCTGCTGTTACACAGGCAAATATACCAACCATTGTGGAGAGTGTAATCCTGTAAACAAAAAAATGAATAAACAATTGACCTACTTTGGTGACGATCGATCAGAATTGTAAACAATATGATGAGAATGCCTGGTTTCCTCTACATAAAAAAAAATGCCACAGGATTAGAAACGTGCACCAGAACGTCTGGAACCTTGTTTGGCATAGTACATCAGAGGCCCAAAGAATAACATTTTAAAAAAAAATGCAGGACAGTGCTCCCTCCATAACGCATAATGATTTTTAAAATTGGGTACTACTACTTGGAACTACAACCTTCGGGTATAAAAATTTTGGTCAACTCAGAGTGGCACTCAATTAAACATGTATAGTTCACGTTAAGTTCCACATGGTCAAAAGAGTGACAAGGAGGGCAGACATTTGAGAACAACTAACTAAAACTACTCCAGGTGATAAAGTCAGAGACATACAGCATGGAAATAGATCCTTCAGTCCAATCGTCTATGCTAACCAGATATCCTAAATAAATCTAATCCCATTTGCCAGCATTTGGCCTATATCCTTCTTAATCATGTACCCATTCAGATGCTTTGTACCAGCTTCCACCACTTCCTCTGGCAGCTCATTCCATACACGCACCAGCCTCTGAAAAGGTACTCCCTTAGGTCTCTCAAACTTTTCCCCTCTCATTTTGGACTCATTTCCGCCCCCCTCCCAAACCGCAGGAAAAAAAAAAAGACCCTGGCTATTCAAACTATCCATGCCCCTCGTGACTTTATAAACCGCTATAAAGGTCATTCCTTAGCCTCCAATGCTCCAGGGAAAAGTAACTCCAGCCTATTCAGCCTGTCCCTATAGCTCAAACCCTCCAACACAGGCAACATCCTCAGAAATCATTTCTGCACCCTTTCTAGTTTCACAACATCCTTCCTATAGCAGGGAGACCACAATTGCATGTGGTATTCCAAAAGTTGTCTAACCAATGTCCTGTACAGGTGCAGCATGACCTCCCAACCCCTATACTCAATGCACTGACCAATAAAGGCAAACATACCAAACACCTTCTTCACTATCCTGTTTACCTGTGACTCTACTTTCAAGGAACTATGAACCTATACCCCAATGTCTTTGCTCAGCAATACACCCCAGGACCTTCCCATTAGGTGTACGAGTCCTGCTCTGACTTGCCTTTCCAAAAGGCAGCACCTCATGTTTGCCTAAATTAAACTCCATTTGACACTCTTTGGCCCATCAGTCCATGAGCCCATCTTATCAAGTCCCGTTGTACTCTGAGGTAACCTTCTTCACTGTCTACTACACCTCCAACTTTGGTGTCACCTGAAAAACTTACTAACCCCACCTATGTTCACATCCAAATCATTTATATAATTGACAAAAGGAGTGGACCCAGCACAGATCCTTGTGGCACACCGCTGATCACAGGCATCCAGTCTGAAAAGCAACACTCCAACCTCCACCAACACTCTACTTTGACCCAGCTCTGCATCCAAATATAGATAGTTCTCCCTCTATTCCACATGACCTAACCTTGCTAACCAGTCTACCACGAGGAACCTTGTCAAACACCTTACTGAAGTCCATATAGATCATGTCCACTGCTCTGCCCTCATCAATCCTTTGTTACTTCTTCAAAAGATTGCCAAACAAGAGTGAAAATGACAGGATGCAGACTTATTTTAGAGACCACCATTTAGAGTCAACAGTTGAGATTTAATCCTATGTAAAATAAATCCATGTGTTTTAATTAGGACGTCATTGTTTATTCACTGTGTACAAAAATTCAGTCATCCATGCAAAATTTCAAACAGCAATCTTTCTGTAATGCTTCATAGCTTACAGTATTTATTAGCATAAGTAATACAACTGATCACCAGAATGTTATAAAATACATTATTCATAAAATGACAGTCAAAAAGTAAAATAAAGCTTCCCAGTAATACCAATTGCTACATGGGTGCCACATATACAGACTTGAAACACAAGGATACTTAGTGAGGAACAGGATTCCTTGGCGTTTTTAATGTAATCCCTGAATTAGAGGCTTATTTTCAAAGCTTGGTCTATTTTGAGAAAATGAATAATTTTTCAAATTGCCAAACTTTGAAAAAATAGAAATATCCAGTTCTTATTCCACAATAAACTGCACTTTAAAGGTTTATTATTCAATGTTACTCCTGGCAACTCTAAAGAAAAAAAAAAAGTGACCTCATGAGCATTTTTAAAAAAGGAAAATGAGCCACTTCAATTGTTCTTTACTTGCTAAATACATGTTGCAACTTCTACTTTTTCTGATAGCCCAGGATGGAAACTGAAAGCATTGACCTCAAGAGCCCGAAGAAATCTAGGATCTGCCCCAAGTGACCGCAGGGTAACAGAAACACCAGGAGATAGCAAAAAAGAATAAACCTCAGCTCGGGTTCCTGCTCCTGACCATGACTTTTTGATGTGAAGTGAAGACATTATTGCATTGACCAACATTGGTGACACACACACATACACACACCCCTTGTGCTAAATTGTACACAGCACAAGCAGTCACTCAAGAGAAATAGAAAGCAGAAAAAAATTAAAGAGGGGAACAAAGAAGAGACATTCCCTGTCACATAGTTAATCAGTCCTGCATGTTCTTACATAATTGTACATACAAAAATCAAAAGAATAAAGAAAGTTGCCAAAACAATATAAACAACACATTGAATATAATAGTCGGTTTTAAAAAAAAATGTGCAATATGGTCTGGAAACCAGAAGGAGCATCCCTTATAATAAATGGGTCTAACATGAAGATTCCTTCCAAGAGCCAATATTGTTTCCATGGGCTTCAATCATGCAGGAGCATTGCCTAACAACACGCTCCTGCCCACCAATTACTCATGAGCAACATCATAGACTGCTGGAAAATGGGAGGAGACAGTGAAACATTCAAGCCAAAAAATTGACCTTCGGTTTAAAATTACTATTTCACACATCACTACAGCTGTTTGAGAAGTTGTTATTTACCACCACTTGTGAAAGCGACAACTTGCAGAACTTAAGACAAATAAAAATTGGCCCATAAGAAATAATATCTGCTTAATCTTAAATTCTAATGTCAGACGTTCACCTATGCCATGCTCTGTCTCTGGCCTCATTGTATTGAATATTTATTTTATTGCAATTAAATGTTGTTCAGCTGCCCGCAGCCATAGATGAAGATTATGAATTATAAACTGGAATGTTATAATCCTGATATTTATTTTTAAATACTAACATCAAAGTATGGCATTCCTCACACCTCATTAGCAACATCTACAAATTAAAAGTACACTACAAATGAAATAAAACTTCTTGGTTACTTTTCAGTCACAGATCACAAAAAAAAATGTTCTGCTCTAGATGGTTTCTCAGCTCTGAGCAGTACCCTGGAGTGATGAGGTGATGGTAAAATCCAAGTTAAAACCATCTCCAGAATCACTAAGAAACTGCTGACCAAGCTGTGTTATGTACCTGTCACTTCAGTCAAAAGCACTCAACCTAATGGGCATCACAGTCAAAGCACTGGATAAGATCTACCCTGACAAAAAGTTTTATCCCAAATGCAGCAGTATGATTCGAACATTCTAAACTATTAGTAAATTGGTACAAGGGGAAAAAAAAAAAATCTCAAACTGAAAAGTAACCCAGATTACCGCCAGCATCACAGATCTGCTAATCACTGGGAACATTAGAACTTCTCTTGCTTAAGCAATGCCCAAGTCATAAGGCACCCTGATATGAAGTGTTTCAAGACACTGAAAATGCAACTCGAATACCTTGGGGCTGCTTTCAATAATGCTAATGGAACCATAAAATTCCCTATGATTTTTGCTAAAAATAAATGGCAACAAAATTACTTGTGAATGAAATCAACAAACAATTAATGTTGCATCGGAGTTTTATTAAAAAAGTTAATTTTGTAAATTTTAGAAATGGGTGACATGAAACTAGCAACACTAGACAGATGAACATTAGTGGCTGAATGGTCTTTTGCATTCTGTCTGCATGTTCTTGTGAATCAGATTCCATAACCTTTGACACCGGTCACCTTAAAATTGCTCTGCAACAATTATGACCTTATTTAGATATACTGAACAATACCACAGACATAATAGCAATTTAGCACCTCTCTTTGTGCCCAAAGTATCCAGATGCAGCAAAGACTAAATACTAACCTTGGTATCACTGTGACAATATTAAAAGAGCAAGAGACAAGGGAGTGAAATTTATCTTTCAAAGTGGATTTGATTTGATTTTATTAAAACTGTATTCACAAATATTGGAGTGTTTTAAAACAAATATGGTGTTTTTGTTAGCATATCACTCCACCATTGAGGGGAATTTCAACCGATTAAAAAAAAGTCATTCAATATATTAATGATACTTTTATTTTCTTCCTTCCCTCTTTTGATACATGAAAGAATTCTAAATTCATGATAATATTAAATCTATAATACCTTGTATTGCAGACACCCACCAATTATATCAAGACAAAAAAAAGTAAAAACAACAGGATCACGTCCACCATCAGCACCCTGTACGAGTAATTTTTTTTAAAAGCTGAAGCTAAACAGATAACTCATGGGAAGTCACAAGTTTGTCTAGTCTTGAGAATACAACAAAAAAGTACATCAGAAGGGAGAATACAGCTGCCAATGGAGTTTCAAATCAAAACACTGTTCGTCATTTCCCCCCGGATAACTGAAATAGGGACTTTTTAATGAATTACAGTATACACTTCAATTCCTGAAACACAACTTGAGGTGTGCATTAGTGCACAAGCTATTTATAGTAAAATAGTCATTAGTGTAAATTTAAATCACTACTTTAAAAACATGCCTTTCACAAGTATTTACATTATTTTTTAAAGTTATATTTATCATTTTTACCCCCCAAACACACAGCTAGCAATTTTAGTTGAGTAGAACACTTCAAAGATAAAGAATATGAATATCTTCCCTTCTGGTAACTGATCAACAGCCTACCATAAGCAAGTTACTAGGAACAACATCGTTCCAATTTCACACACTGAATAGGTATAAACCTAGATACACGCAAGCTCCACACTGGTATGGTGAAATGCATGCATCAGCAACACAGCCCCCTGAGTAGAAACGTTACAAAAATACCATATATAGGAGCACTTAGACAAAGTCAGTACACACAACCCCACAGCTATATCATTTTTGCACACAGATGACTTGAGCAGGTAATGCCATCACCTTTCAATAAACCTCTGACTGAAACCTTTGGCTATGCACCTTTCTTCATGTGTAAGACACATTGTACAACCGACACCACTGACCAATGGAGTTCTGAAAATAACGCATTAAGTGTCCTGAATTGTCTGCAGCTCCAATGCAAACACAGTTTGTAATATCTGTTCTAGAATCCTAATGGACAGTGTAACAAAATGTTCCTTTTATCAACTTCACCATGAGAGAGTTTCCCATAAAAAAGTGGTCCCAAGTTGGGAACTGTCCTCCAGTGAGCTGCAATACAAAGTACTGCTGGGTACACTTTTGCTAGTAATCCAGGTCAGGGTAATGTTAGGCCAGAGGGAGACCTTTGCCAGCATAGATACCATGCTATAAGCTTGATTTTCTCCATGCTCATTTAAGACCTGGTGCATATTTCATTTGCAAAAGATTGATCTCATGTAAAGTCAGATTGACCCTGCCACTATAAAGCTAGAACCAACGTTTACGTTTGAGTAGTACAGCCTATGCAATCATAACTCTCATAGAAACAGAAGTTAAACAGAGGTGTAAACCAGAAGGTAGTAATTTCAATAACATACTTGTTGCACCCAACTAGCACACATCATGCAAGGGTCTTACACCAGCAGTAGGACTGCCACCCGTTACCAGCAGACAGAAGTGCAGACACATTTCAGCATGTCCACTGAACAAAATAGCAACCTTCCTCCCACAAACCACCACAAAGAAATTGAAGATTCTGAAAGATGTAAAACAGTGGTCATAATTGCAGTGCTGTGTCTGCTTCTGTGACATGGCAAGATCCTTTGTAGCCCTGAGACAGATCAATTAAGTAACTACAAATCATTATCAATGTAGGAATACTGCAATTTACAGTAATTCAGTCCCTGAGTTAAACCCCAATGAGAACTCTCTAGGGAAGGGATGTGTACAACTGAGTTAAACTGAGCCATAAAATCACATAGCCAACTGTGAATTGGAGAAACAGGGCAAAATTGGTTTCTTACAGTTTTTAAATTTTTTTGATCATGGTATTAAATCTGTGAAACTGCAATTTCATATTTACTCTCCTTGCTTCAGATAAATTGCTCTGAAGTATCTTCTGTGTTTCTTATTCAAAAAATATTAGCAAGCTTCATGTCACCATTGAGCACACAGTGGAGCATTGTGTGGCTGTTTCATTTATTTGTGAAGCTGTGGTTCAGTCCGTAGGACTTTTTTTTATTTAAAAGTGAGAAGCTACTAAAATAGATAATTTTTTGTCTGGATGACTAAACAATGGTTTCCCTTCAGTATACTCCAAAGCCTGTATGGAGCTATTGTAATAAGTTAAAAGTTCAAAAATAAAAACAGGCATCAGGTCAACTAGATCAGATAATAACTGGGACCTTAAGACAGTTCACAACTCTCACTATTTCACGCTGATACCAATCCAGATAGTGGCTGAACTTCAGTTGCTGGCTACAGTCAGTGTGTGTCCAAAAACAACACAAGTGACAAAAGACTTCCATAACATTAATCTGCAATGGTTGAATGGTTTGAAAGCAAAGATGTACAAGCACAGTCCACACATGTTTAGAGGGTGGAATATAAACTCTCAGTTTAAACAAGACTTTTGGTACAAAATGTTTTTTTAAAACCCCCTCCAGTTTAATTGAGCACAGGGCCAGCAGGATTAGGAGAACTGACGATGCAAGAGGATGCCAGGCTGTGGAAGGTGGGTGCCAGCATTTTGGGGGGTGATGCACTTCTGCTGTGGGGTTTGATGATCATGCTGGGCTTGAAGTCAGGGTGTCGCCGAGCGTGCTTCATCAAGTGGTCACTGCGCATAAACCTCTTCTCGCACATTGGGCACTTGAATTTCTTCTCACCAGTGTGGGTACGATAATGTCGAGCCAGCTCATCTGAGCGGGCAAACTTCTTCAAACACTGTGGCCAGGTGCAAGGAAATGGTCGCTCCCCTGAAAGACAAATTGGGATAAAAGCAGAGATAAGACACAGTGACTGAGTTCAGATGAAACAGAAACATAGGAATGATTTTCATCTGCAAGCTCATTTCAGTCATAGAAGTTATTGTCTTCATCCTCAGCCACAGAGACACTTATCAATTGTTGGGTGTGCCTTCAGGTTGTCTGCTACTACTCTTCTCCCCAGAGAGTGTGAGAATCTACAAACTAAGACAGTGTAATTTTAAAACTCATTCTCTGCAGGAAACCCACACAGATCAGGTGGAATATTGGTTTTACGTCGTGCTGAATATTACTTTCTGTTAGAGTGTAAAATCAAACAGGATGTAAAACCAGCAGTGTGTGAGATACAGTTTCCCACCCAAATTATATCATCATCCCATTTTGGTATCTGCACATTTGAATTTTACACAAGATTCAAGCTCAATTTTTCTTGTTCTCCAGTTTCACAACTGTAACTGTCTCTAATGTAGTTAGCTGATCTTAATAGGGCAGTTCAAGAACCCTTTGACAGAGTGCTTTGCTCCAGACCCGCCTTGTGCTAAATGAAAGTACACTTGTGGTTTCTATAATTTGTGTCCTTTCTTCTAGCTAGCACGTAGCTTGAGTAACAAGTCTCTAGGGTTAACTGGGAGATAAAGAATTGTGTTGATTATGTAATATTGATGCCTTTCTACACAAGTCCTGAACCGACTCAAATTGCACAATGCTTAAGGAAGCCAAGGATAGAGGCCAATTACCTCTTGCGCACATTTGAAAACTAGTTTCAAATTGTAAAGCCCTCTGTTCACTTCAGGCTCTGTCTGTCTGTCAGTCATGAAGTTGTTTAGGAATACATGCAGATAACTATTATGTCAGTCATTCTGAGTTAAAGAGAAATGGAAATAAAATCAAATAACTTGAATCAAGCAATATAAACACAAAGTGGGAATTTCATACTTCAAAATGAAGTAATTATTTTAATTTATTGAATTTAATGTAGACTGAAGTAGAAATTAGACACAAATTGATCCGATTGCATAGAGTTTACTAGAACCACAAACAGATTTTCTTTTCCTACTCCCATTCTGCCTGAACACAAATTAAAAGCACTGTTTGTTCTAATCCATTACACCTCTAATCTCCAACAGAGCTCTACACTCAATAGCATTTGAACCTGAATTAAAGGAATGACATATTAGAGTGTCTCAAAACAGTAAAGACAAAAATCAGGCTCATGATGCAAGGTACACTGGTTTAAGTAGCTGCTTGGACCAGGGATTTTTCTAGGATGAAAACTTCTAACGTTTGCCTGGAATGAGGTCACTACTGGCCACGCCTGCATTTATTGCCAATTCCAAATTGCTCTGAGCTGCCTTCGTGAACTGACAGACCTTGTCATGTAGGAAAGCCATCATCAGTGCTGTTAGAAAGTGAGTACCAGGCTTTTTGATCCAGTGACAGTAAAGCATTTGCAATATATTTTCAAGTCAAGTCATGATGGTGTGGGCTTGGAGGGGAACTCATACATTAATAGCTATCATACCACCCTACTGTTGATTTATCTATCAACAAGTGTTCTCTTGCCAGTAGATACTGCAGGTATTTGTGCTTCATTCTGTGCTGAGCTGCTTTGCAGGAAATTAAATTTAGACACCCATTTAAAAACTGGCAATTGATTCAAGATCCAATCAGTTTCAAAAGAAAACTGGAATTTTGCCTTCGTTCGCCCTTTAAGGGTCACCAGCACCACTTGCTAAGATGGTTGCAGCTTACTCTCCAAGAAAACAAAAAAAATGTGCAAGGAAAAGCAGAACATCCCGCCCAGATTCAAATTCTTCAATCTTTCATTATTGAGTGAGGTCAATTCAGTTTAGAACTGTGGATGACTTAAACCACAGCAATCCTGCTGCAAAGTCCTGGAATTATCGATATTTTTTAAACCAGCTTCTTCAGACAAGTTCCTCTCCACATCTGGAGCAAGTGGGACTTGAACCCAGAGGTAGGGAACACTACCACTACTACTGTCCTGTGGCTTTCACTGCCAGAGGAAAGAAGGTACTAATTCTTTTTCTTATAGATTAGACATGAACTGATCCTCCTGAGCTGTGTTGACTTTCTCAGCTCAGAATAAAAATTTCCATGCTCAAGTAGTTGCACAAGGCAGTAGAAACCAAGCAGTTGCTGAAGTATCAGCTAGTTTATCCTGTGCAGGGAAACCTGGTCTGCAAATGAAAAAAAAGGAGCAATTCTCATAGGTATTACTACCACTACAAAAGGAAAAGTTTATTACAGAATTATTTTTAAGAAATACATTAGCCATGTTTGCATACAGATTTTTATTTTTCAAAAAAACCAACTTGCTGAAATGTTATGATACACCTCTGGAGCAGATGGTGATTGAACCCAGGTCTCCTGACTCAGAGGTAGGGACACTACCACTGCACCACAAGGGCCCCCATGTATACTTTTTTTTTATATTTAATCAACCTATTTTTCCTGATCAACTTGTGCAGAGATGTTATTACACGCCTCAGGAGCAGGTGGGAACTGAACCCAGGCCTCTTGGCTCAGAGATAGGGATACTACCATTGCACAAGAGCCCCCATGCACTGAAAATTACTAACTAGATAACAAGCACCAAACCAAGCACATTAATGTCAGATTGCCACAGAACAGCTCATGTTGTCTACTGGTAGTGTTCCTTCCTCTGAGCCAGGAGCCCTGGGTTCAGGTAGGTCCCACCCGCTACAGAGGTGTGTAACAAGTTGATTGGAAGATATCTAGGAATACTATAGATGCATCTGTCCCTGACAATAACACAGAGTCCAAGTCCCATCTTCACATTCAGCATGTTCTTCATGGTGTTGTGTGCACTGTCACCATGCTAAACCAGTCACAGTTTAAACATCTGGCAACTAAAGACGCAGAATCCATGAGATGCTGTGGGCTGTCAGCAGCAACAGCATTATTGTACTCCAACACAATCTGCAGCCTCAAAGCCCAGCATATATCAAGCCTGGCTCAGGGTGCAGGCGCAACACCTGACATACCCAAGAATGAATTGTCAACCTGGTGAAGATACCAAACAGCATAAACAGCAGGTGGGAGATGTGGCTGGATGATACCAATACCCAATGGATCAGATCAAAGTTGTACAGATCTGCTACATTCAGTCATGAACAGTGGAGGAGAATTGAACAACTCACTGGTGGAGATTATTCCTTAGATATCCCCATCCTCAACGAGCCTAACATACCAGTACAAAGAGACAAGGCTGAGGCATTTACAACAATCTTCAGCCAGCAGTACCAATTGGATGCTCCATCTCAGCCTCCTTCAGGAGGTGCCCAGCATCACAGGTGCCAGTCTTCAGCCAATTTGATTCACTTCATATTATAAGAAATGGTTGGAAGCACTGGAGACAGTAAAGGCGAAAGCCTGAGAAAATTCCAGCAATAGTACTGAACAGGTGTGTTCCAGAGCTTGCTGCACCTCTAGCCATGCTGTTCCAGTACATCTATTAAACTGGCACGTACCCAACCATAATGGAAAATTGTCCAGGTCTGTCTTGTACTCAGCAGTACAAAGCCAACCCAGCCAATTACTGCCCCACCAGTCTACTCTCTATCACCAGTAAAGTGATGGATGGGGTCAACAACAGCACTAGCTTAGCAATAACCTGTTTGCTGATGCTCAGTTTGGGTTCTACTAGGACTACTCAGCTCCTGACTTCAGTAAATCCAGAGGTGAAGGGAAAAAGTGATTACCCTTGACATTAAGGCCCCATTTGACCAAGTATCAAGACAACCGATTAAAACTGGGGTTAAATGAGAAATCAGGGGAAGTCTCCACTGGTTGCAGTGATACCTGGCATGCAGGAAGATGGTTGTGGTGGTTGCAAGTCAGATATCTCAGCTCCAGGACATTTCTGCAGGAGTTCCTCAGGGTAGTGTCCTTACCACAAGTCTGTTCATGCTTCAATGACTTTCCCTCCATTATAAAAGTCAGAAGTGGGGATGTTCATTGACAGTTGCAACGCTTGGCAGTATTCACAATTCCTCAAATAATGATGAAGTAGTCATGTCCAAATGCAACAAGATCTGGACAATATTCAGGCTCAGGCTGACAAGCAGCAAGCGATATTCATGCTACACAAATACCAGGCAAAGACTATCTCCAAAAAGAAGCTTTAATCATCATGCCATGTCTAGTATTAGCCTGGACTAGACAAGAGCAAGTCAGAGAAGAAGACTTGCAGTGAATAACTCAACTCCCAACTGCCCAAAGCCAGTCCACCATCTACAAGACATCAGTTAGATGGAATACTCCCATTTGCCTAGATGAGTGCAGCTCTAACAGCTCCAAGCAGCTTGATACTGTTAAAGACAAAGCAACCTGCTTGATTAGCACCATATCCATAAACATTCACTTTCTCTACCACTGATGCTCAGTAGCAGCAGTGTGTACCATCTACAAGATGCGTTGCAAAAATTCAAAGATCCTTAAATGGCACCTTCCAAACCCGTGATCATTACCACCTAGAAGGAAAGGGCAGCAGATGCGAATACCAGTACATTCAAGTTCCCCTCCAAGCAATTCACCAAACTGACTTGAAAATATAATCACAGTTCCTTCTTGGCTCAAAATCCTAAAACTTCCTTCCCTAATAGCATAGCGTCTATCTACACTTAGACAGACTGCAGCAATTCAAGAAAGTAGCTCGGCACACACTTCAAGGACAATTACGGCCAAGATGCTGGCCCAGCCAGCAGCACCCACGTCCCAAGAATCAATTAAAAAATACATACGTAAATTATTGGGAGAAAAGTTCATCAGTATAATTTCATTAATATGGCCATCTTGTGACAATAGGTCACATCCTCGCTTCACAGCCTGAGTTCTGGGTTCAAGTCCCACCCCATGTTTTGATGGCCAAGGAAGATGCATTCAAAATATGACCAAATAGGCAGAGCATGAATATGCAAATCCTCCAAACACTCACCAATAAGCAT